ACGTGTTAACCACTTTCTGGCAAGAAAAAGGTTACCATAATCATAAATACTGCTGCTGCACTTGAGTACTGCTTTACTTTATGCTATAAATGTGCATTCCGGGGTGCGCAGTACGAAGAGAAATCTGCTACCAAGGAACACGTATGGTCCAGGAGTTCCGTAAATATTCTTTTAGGAACAAAAGAACTAGGAGGTGCAGCAATGGAGATCAAACAGAAAAATCTCAGGTTTCAAATTATTCAAACTCACATTTCACTTCCATCATAAACAGAGCGCTAAGTGAGCAGCACACAGGCAAGATTTTAAAAAAAGACCATCGGAAACATCACTCAGGAAGAAGCACTTTGTCATTGAGCTGCAAATCGAGTCTGGCACACGCCCTAATTGTGGGCTCTTTCCTCACCCACCTTGACTGACGAGCCTTCCTCACCAGATGGAGAAGGAAGCTGTAGCTCCTTCCTTGGCAAGGCACCCGGGCCTCACTGGACTTCTGCAAGGAGCCTGCAGATACCTTGTCTCGCTAAGATGGCTGCGCTGACTTAAAGGAATATCAGTGACATGAAATTAGGTCAGAACTTCATTTTAATTGGTTAATAATAGTTTCAGGTGCTGTCTCCCAAGCCTACCATCTGACTGTTGGGGCTTTAAAATGACATTACCCGCCCTCCACTATTCATTTTCTTTTCCCTTTCACTGTTTGAAAGGCTCAAGTGAACAGGAAAATGACTTCCTATTCAGGGGAGACGGTGAATGCAGCGGTAATTAAATGAGCGAGAAAAAGCACAGCTAAAATTGTAGTTCTTATTCCTCACTCAACTCTGTGTACAGCAATCTCAAGCGTTCCTGTCACAGCAACAGGTAAAACATCCTCAGAAAATGGAACCTACAAATTGTTGGTATGCCTTCCACAGACACCAAATCCCATCCTTAGCATGCATACTAATTTTAACAGGCAAAGATGGGAAGAGGAGAAAATAGTTAAAATATAAGAACACAGCTAGAGTGTGAAAAGCCTGTCTGTGTAGCTTATAACCTCATGACAGAGAAAACCAGATAAACTCCTAGAAGGTCTCATGTGATAACCTAGTTTTCAAAGCATGTTTGCATGCAGTCTCTCCCTGAGCCCTGATATCAAGGCACTTGTCTTGACCGTCACTCAGCTGTCTGTCAAGACACCCTAACAACTTCCTACCGCCCTCCGCTGCTTCTTGTCTATCAGCACAGATGATGCTTCATTTACTCTCACTTTCTTTCCTTCTCCACTCTTTTGCACTGGGGTAGCTCCAAACTCCTTCCCAGTTTCACACTGGCATCTCTTCTGCACTGCTTTCGCCCGGGCAAGACCCGTCCTGCCAAATGATAGAGAGGGCTGAACCCAGCTCCCACCTCCGCCCAGGCCTCGGCTCTAACAGCCATCCCCAGCAGCCTCTCTTTTGACACTTTGCTCTTTCTTCCCTCAGTTCTGCTTTTCATTGTAATTGAACCTCAACCTCATCCTTGTTTCTGCCTTTCTACCTCTGGCTCTGCCCTCCACCTCTGCTCTTGCTCCTGTCCCAGTTAGCTCTCTGAGCTCCCCCCTGCACACAGACTCCATGAACAACATCGTCGTCGAGCCACCAGGCCCACTGTTTAGAAGTCATCATCAATTCTCTCAAGCTCTCCCCCCTCTTGCAATCCAGACCTTCCAGGTTCCTTGTATCCCTCACCACATCTCCCTCCTTTTGGATTAGAGGGAAGCTCTCCCCTGTTCACCTTCAAAATTCCTGAGCTTATTCTCTCCTACCTCTCATCCACCCACAAAGCAAACTTCCACTGCCCACTTCAAAAATCTAACCAGTGCCTTTGCATTTTCTTCTGTCCTGCTCTGTCCACTTCAGAGAAGCTTGCCATAAACATGTCCCTCCTTTGCTGGAGGGACATGAAGTCACTTCTAAAACAGCCAAACCCCCAAAATTCTCCTGCCTTTATCTCCAAAGGGCTACTTGACTCCATCTACCAGCTTGACCACACATAGATACAGAGAAACAAGAGTATTGGTGTGACACTGCACCTAAATTAATGTGGCTACACAGCTGCCAGATGGTCAGTGAGGACACGCTAAACTAAGGGCAGAATAACATTCCCAGAGACCAGCTGAGCAAGGAGGCATCTCAGCTGAAGTTAGAGTCTTGGCCAGGAAGAAAGTTGTTCATAAAAAAAGTGTAACATACACAGACACATTTTATATATTTTTTTTTTACATATATATATATATTTTTTCCTACCTCTCCAACGGCCCTTGTTGGCGAGGATATACATATGTGTTTTCTTCCCCTCCTTCCCTTCTGAACTAGTTAACTTTCACTTAGGATATGACACAGAAGAAAACTCCACGCGTTGCCACTCTAAGCCATCTTCTGAAAGTGAGAACTTATGAGCTTTTATGCATTTCCCCATAGTCAATTCGTGCCACTGTAGTATTTAAACGCCTACATTTGGGGGAGGAAAGGGTGCTTGAAACCGTTAAGATGCAGTTAACTGACATCACTCCACAATTAGAAGTACTCTCCAACACTAGCCCTTCGAGCTATGACACGAACCCT